TTTTTTTGGCCGGGGGGGGGGGTCCAAGCTGGCCACCATGGGTGTCATTCCCCTTCCCATAAAAGCCCAGCAGCTGGTCGTAAATGCAAATCACCCCCATAAAAGGGGGCCCTACAAAGCCCCCCCGGGGAGCCGGAGGAGGATGCTGGCAGCTCTGGTCACCTTTGATGTGGCTTTGGTGGTGGGTTGTGACCTGTGTCATTGTCGTCCCCCCCCTTGTCACCCTTTTGTCCCAGCGGGGTTTTACATCCTGGAGGGAATTGCTGCCGGATGGTTCCTGCTAAAGGAGGGACAGCGGGGGGGGGGGGGGTGAGGGGGGTCCCTTGGGACCCTCATCCCCCCACCCACAGGGACGTGCTTCCCTGGGGACCCATCCCGGGGTCTCTAGTCCCACCCCAGCTGGTTGTGGCACCGTTTTGCAGTGGGGAAACTGAGGCACAAGACGAAAATGCTGCCTCCCCCAGCTCCCCCCCCCAAAAAGTCAGGGGGCTGCTCTGCCACCCACCCCTCCTGCAATGTGCCCCACGGTCTCAGAGGGCCCAGGGAGAGCAGGGGAGGGGGGGCACCATTCCCGGCTGCCACCCTGGGGGGGGACGACATGGCACCCCCTTGCCATGTGGTCTTTGAAGGGGGGGGGGGGTGCAACACATCTGGGCTGCTCAGACACATCTGGGAAGATCTCGGGCACATCTTGGGGTGCCCTGGAACATCTGGGGGGGTCCCCAGCAGAGCGAGGGGTGCTCTGGCACAGCTGGGGGGGGTCCCAGGCATATCTGGGGGTGCTCTGGCACAGCTGGGGGGGGTCCCAGGCATATCTGGGGGTGCTCTGGCATATTTGGGGGGGGTGCTCTAGCACATCTGGGGGCTCCTGTGCACATCTGTGGGTGCTCTGACACATTGGAGGGGTCCCTGGAACATCTGGGGATGTTTTAACACATCTGGGGAGATCTCCAGCTCATTTGGGTGGATCTCAGGCACATCTGGGGGTTCATGAGCACATCTGGGGGTGCCTTGGCACATGTGGGGGGCTCTGGCATACCTGGGAGGGATCCCAGGCCCATCTGGGGGGATCTCTGGCACATCTGGGGATGTCCTGGTACATCTGAGGGGGGTCCCAGGCACATCTGGGGGGTGCTATGGCATAACTGGGGGGGGGGCAGGCACATCTGGGGAGTGCTCTGGCAGGTCTGGAGGGGCCCCAGGCATATCTGGATGGATCTCTGGCACATCTGGTCCTCCTGGCTATATCTAGTGGCACCCTGACACATCTTGGGGGGTCTCCAGCATATCTGGGGGGGCTCTGTCACTCATCTGCAGGCTCCCAGAAACATCTGTGGGCTCCCAAAACCATCGGGGTGGGGCCTCTAGCACATCTGGGGGGTGCTGTGTCACATCTGTGGGCTCTCAGACACGTCTGGGAATGCTTTAAAACATTGGGGGGGATCTTCAGCTCATATGGGTGGATCTCTGGCACATCTGGGGACACCAGGGCACATCTGGGGGTGGTCCCAGACACATCAGGCGGGGTGTTCTGGCATATTGAGGGGGGGCATGACCTGCCTTGAGTGATCGAGGGGGGTGTCTATTGCATCTGGGGGCTCTCTGGCACATCTGGATGGCATCCAGGCACATCTGGCTGTCTCCCCAGCACATCTTGGGGTTTTCCTAGCACACTGAGGCGGGGGGGGGGGGGCTTGCCCCCACTTGAAGGGGTTCTTTGAACATTTTTGGGGGGTGCTTTCTGGCATATCTGGGACTCCCTGAATCATCACCACCTCCAATTCCTCTCCTGTGGCACCCACGGGTGATGGACCCACCTCCAGTCCTGCTCCCCATGGTTCCCAGGGGTGACGGATCCATCTCCGGTCCCACTCCCGTGGCACCCAGGGGTGATGGACCCACCTCTGGCTTTGTTCCCCATGGTGCCTGGGGATGATGTCCCCCCCTCGGCCATGCCCCAGCCGCTCAGAGGGTCCCCGTGTGCCGGCAGGCTGCGGCGGGCAGGGGTGCCGTGTCCCCAGGCCAGCATCGGCTCCACGCCGTCCTGCAGCCACCCGGTGCCGGAGATGGCCCAGCTCACCGAGCTCCATCCAGGCAACTACCTCTTCTACGGTGAGTGGGTCCGGGGGGACCCCACTCCCACCCCCAACCCTGCTTGTGACCCCCCCCCAGGGTGGGATGCACCCCAACCTGAGCTGGTCACCCTCTTCTCCCAGACCTTCAGCAGACCCTCCTGGGTTCCTGTCACCCGGAGGAGGTGGCCATCCGTGTCCTCACCAGGGTCATCGGTCACTACCCCCACCGCAACCAGCTGCTGGTGGACTGCGGGTGGGCTGCCCTCAGCCTCCACGGCCGCCATCAGGCACCTGTGGGCTGCGCCGCCATCGAGGGGCACCCCCAGCTTAGGTGAGCACCGGGGAGGGGTGGGGGGGTGGCTTTTGGGGGGGGACACACAACGACAGAGGGGTGACGGCGTGTCTCCGCAGGCTGGTGGGGCTGACGCAGGAGCACGGGCAGGTGGAAGCCATCGACGGACGGTTGGATTTCGAGCGCTTCCCGTTGGGCAGCATCCTGGCTCTTATCCCCTTCCATGTGAGTACCGGCCCCACCGCGCCCCACCACGCCCCGCCACACCCCACCACGCCCGGCTCAGCATCCCTATCCACCGCAGGCCTGCGCGACTGCTGCCATGCACCCCGTCTACTACGTCCACGCCGGGGGGAAGGTGGTGGAGCTCTGGCACCCAGTCCGCGGCTGGTAGGGAGGAGAGTGGGGAGCTGCCGGGGTGCTGCGCCCACGCCGAGACCCTGCGCCCACTTGGAGACCCTGCGCCCACGCCGGGGTGCTGCATCCACACCGGGGTCCTGCACCCACTCGGAGACCCTGAACTCACGCCGAGACCCTGCACCCATGCTGGGGTCCCACACCCACGGTGAAGCCATGTGCCCATGCCAGAGTCCTGCACCCACGCCGGGGTGCTGTCCCCCCGGCCCCCCCGTACCGGGGTCAATAAAGCTGCTTCTCCCATTTCCAGACACTTTTGCCCCCGGGGCAGGGAGGGGACAGGCCGTGGGGAGGGGGCGG